CCTGAGCTGTGTGACCTGGTACGGATGGCTCAATCCCACTGTGCCTCATTCCCCATTCATGAAACATGGGGACGCCAGGACCTAGCTCGTAGGGATGTTGCAAGCAGTGAATGGATTAATGCATACACATGCTTTAGCACTGCTCTGTAACACCAGAGCTATTAAACACCAGCCATCGCCAGCAGGGGCGCTCCGACAGAACCCCTTTAGCACCTGCCCCCATCGCCCCCCTCCTGGCCTTTCACGGGAGCAGGGCTGCTGGCATTTAACTCCATCTTCCATGGTCTCTGCCGGTACCTGGGAGCTGGGACGTTTGTGAGCGAGCGAGTGAGTGAACAAGGGAAGGAGGGTCTCACAGGAGCACAGGGAAGACACGCGGCTGGGACCGGATTCTCCTTATCATAGATGGGTTTTGGTGGGGGAGGGGTGTGTGACTCGCCCAAGGTCACCCAAGCAGGCCCCATTGCAGCCAGGCCCTGGATCCACACAGCTTCCTCTTTCCCTGCTGCCGAGAATGGCTGTCAACCAGAGTTGCTCAATTGCACACAGGAACAAGGAATCCACTTCCCGGAGCACAAGCCTCTCCTGCAGGCTGCCCCCGCTCTGACCAACAGACACTCAGACAACAGATGTGCAAGACGGGAAGGCGCCAGGGCAGGGAGAGCAGCGGCTGGGCCCGCAGAGGCAGCCCCCGGGCCAGCCTCTGGCCCCGCGCTCCCTGGCTGTGGGCTGTGTGCAAAGCGAGGACAGCTGCAGGTTTCAAAATGTCTTCAAAGCAGGGAGAAAAATGGAACTGTGGCCTCTCCCTGCAGAGGCCCAGGGCCCCACCAGCAGGAAAGGCCAAGGCTGCTTGGTCTCTGGAGGCTTCTCTGCTCCGCTGTCTCCTGGCGTCAGGAGATACGGGCAGAGGCACACTGTGTTCTTTGGGGTGTTTACTGAGTGTGTGCAGGGCCCCATTTGCCCAAGTGCAGGCCGGGAAAGAGCGACAAGGCCAGGCCAGTGGTCAGTGGGGCAGACAGGAAAGCACACAGCTGGGAGGGCAGGGAGCTGGGTTCCAATCCGGGCTCATTCACTTACTGGTGAAGATGTGAGCTCGGGCAAGGTACTGGGAAGTGTGGGCTGAATGTAACAGCCTTGCAATGCAGTTACAGAGGTTGGTGACATTTAAAGACCCGCCTCCGTGCCTGGTGTGCAGGAGGAGCGAAATGATGGGTGATTCCTGTTATTAGGGCAAGAGGCTTCCTCTAAGCTCAAGGCCATGGCCCCTCTCTGCCCCGGCACAACTGTTGCATATCCAGGCTCACAAGAGAGACCAGGGCTGGGAGACTGAACACTGGGCCAAACATCTTCCAGAACTGATGCTGAGTCAGTGGTGTGTTGATTTTAAAGGAAGGCCCATCACCCCGAGCAGTTCTGGGTGTATCTGAGGCTGAAGGTGCAAACAGACTGGCTCCTACGCAGTGGCGAGGAAAGTGAGGCCCAGGAGAGGCAGGGACTGATTCCTTTACCAAAAAAATATTTATTTATTTTAAAGACTGGATGACAGAGAGAGGGGGAGAGATCTTCCACCCCCTCGTTCACTCCCCAAATGCCTGCAACAGCTAGGAGTAGGCCAGGCTGAAGCCAGGCGCCAGAAACCCCATGTGGTCTCCCACATGGGTGGCAGGGAGCCAAGTATGTATGCCTCCTGGACATTAGCAGGAAGCTGAACCGGAAGCACAGAGTAGCTGGGATTCGAATCAGGCACTCTGTGATGAGATGTGGGCATCCCCAGTGGCTTACTCCGCTGCCCACAGCACCCCTCCCCTTACAGTGGTCTTTAGGGAACACACGGAGCCCCTGTGAGGAAGCACACCTGTGAATGCCACCTGGCGCATGGGTGCAGACAGCAGCCCCAGGCCAGTGGTCTGGAACTTCAAGGTTGGGCTTCTGATGAAGGGCTCTTGGGCCCAGGTCACTCGCTTTCTCTAAAGACCCTTAGGACAGCCTATGGGGACAGACAGGTAGAACGTCTGTGGCTCTAAGGGAGCTAGGCCTGGGCTGTGGTTCTGGAAGGCCTTTGGGTGTGTCCTGGGGGTGGGGTGGCGTGGCGGCACCTGGCTCAACCTGCTATCACCTGCCTCCTGCCAGCTTCTGAGTGAAGAGTCGTCCTCCTCTGACACTGGCCTGCCCCTGCGTCTCCAGACCGACATCACTGCCGCCCTGCACACAAGCTCGCACCTCTGACCCCCCTCTTGTTCACTTTAAGTTGTCACCAAGTCTGCTTCAGGCCACTGTCTGGTGAATCTTCCCCTTCCCCCTCCAGCCCCCGCCTCTGCCACCTTTAGTCTGCGTAGCTGCAGCAGTCTTCCCCACCCCCACCGCTTGTCACCCATCTGACCCACCCTCCAGCCAGGCACAGCTCTGGTCCTGCTGCTTTCAGACCAGTGCCTTGCACGACGGCACCCAGGGCGCAGGAAATAGAGCCCCCCCCCCCCCCCCCTGCTTTCACCTGCAACAGTCTTGCAGCTTAGATCACTTCCCACCTCTTTCTGCAGGCACGTCGTGCCATTACCCCCCTAATCAGCTTATTCATTCATTTTGCCATCTACATGAAGACCCCTGAGGACAGGGCCTGGGTTCCCAGCTGCTACAGGACCGAAAGATAGAGGGAAGGAGGGAGGGAGGGATAGGAGAATAGGCACACGGCTGAATATGAGCAGTTCTCAGTACTGAGTCTTAGGGAAGACGCCGGCGGGGGAGGCAGGCGGGGAGCTGGCATTGTGGAGTAGTGAGTGAAGCTGCCGCCTGTGACGCCGGCATCCCATATGGGCGCTGGTTTGTGTCCCAGCTGCTCCACTTCCTTTCCAGCTCCCTGCTAATGGCCTCGGAAAAGCAGCAGAGGATGGCTCAAGTGTCTGGGCCCCTGCTACCCTCATGGAAGCGCCTGGCTTGGTCTGGCCCTGCCCTGGCTGTTGAGGCCGTCTGGGGAGTGAACCAGTGGATGCAAGATCAATTAATCTGTCTCTCTCACTCTTTCAAATAAGTAAATACATCTTTTTTTTTTTAATGCAGCTTTACAGAATTTGGAATATTTTATAAATCTACAGTGAAAGGAATTGATTCCCCTAGAAGAGACTCCCCAAGAAGATTCCCCAAATGCTCTCACACCTGTCATATTTGCCCCATCACCACCTACTCTGTTAACTATAGCTGTTCCCTCATATCTACAGTGTCACCTTCTGTGGTTTCATGGCCATCTGTGGCCTGAAAATATTAAATGGAAAGTTCCAGGAATAAATAGCTCATAACTTTCAATGACTTGCTCTGACCCACCCAGGGCGAGTCATCCCCTTGTCCAGCGTATCCACACTGTATGCGCTACCTGCCCATTGGTCACTGCAGGGCCAACTTGGTTATCGGATCTACTTGCAGTGTCACATTGCTTGCGTTCAGATAACCCTCATTTTGCTCAACGGCGGCCCCGTGTGCAAAAGCAAGGAAGCTGAGGATTCAGAGGCGCGGGTGAGACCCGAAGTGCATCTTTTTAGTGTGGTCTCACGCATCACAAGAAGGGGGGCAGGGTGCAATGAGGTCATTTGAGAGACCACATTCCCATAATTTTTGTTTCAGTATAGCTGTTCTACCATATTGTTCAGTTGCTGTCTCTATGAAGTTCATCACAGGTGCATGTGTACAGAAAGCCGCTGTCCACATAAGAGTCCTGTGTATGACAATCCCTTATGTCACCTCCTCATGCTGTGTAGGACCCTGGGCTTCACGGGGGCCACCCTCCTTGTACAGATGGGAAAATAGGCACAGAGAAGGACAATGCCTGGTTTTCAGCATCACACGGCAAGTGAGTAGCAAGGGCCAGGGCTGAAAGCCAGCCCTGCCACAGAGCCCAAGGAAGGCGGGTTAGGACCGCCGCCAGGGAAAGCCAGCGACTCCTGCTGCTGGCGTCTCACCAGCCTGGATGTTGGAGGACGGTTCCAAGAAGGGCCTGAGCGCGGCCCAGCGGAGGCTGACAATCCCCAGGAATCGGACTTGGGAGCTCCTTCAACAGCTGCTCATGAAGAGCCACTTGCCAGGCAGGAACTATGGGGGCTAACCACGGCGCAGACCGCCAGCAGTGTGGCGTCTGCAGACCCAGGGCCACCGTGGAGCACTTTCCTAAACCCATGGAAGGCAGGGCCGCTCCTCTGCGAGCGTCAGCTTAGGAACATGGGGACGATTCTTGGGCAGGGTGGGGGCAGTGATGAGGGCTGGTCAAGGAACCCCGGGGCGGGGCTGGGGGGCACCCCGAGGGCCCTGGTGCCAGCCTCGGACAGGACAGCAGGAATGTAGGGTGCAGGGAAGGGGCGGGGCCCAACTCCTGGAGGGCCAGCAGGGAGACTGAGGGCTGTGGCCTTTCTCTCTGCGACAACAGGAGGGGGTCCGCACAGACCAGAGACAAAGCAGGGCCTGGCACATGGCCTGGCACGGCGGAGGCGCTCGGGAAGGAAGGAGCGACGCCAGCAGGGGAAGGATGCGCAGAGCAGCCCTGGGGAGGCTGGGCGGGGCAGGCGGCTTTGCGGCGAGAGATGCTGTCACAGTTGGGTGACTTTTCCCAACTCTTAACTCGGTTCTCCTCCCGAAACAAAGCAAGAAGCCCCGCCTGCCGGCCGCACAGCGCTCGCCGCGTCCGCGCCTGGAAGCCCTCCCTGACGCCATCTCTGGCCGGCGGCCAAGGGACCCTCCCTGGGGCTGCCTTCGCTCCCTCTCTCCCAGTGGCCTGACCGCACCCACTTTCCCGGCTGCCCCCGGAATCTGCCCGCGCGGCGCCTCCGGGCGCCTCCACCAGCGCGCGCCTCCGTCCCGCGTCCCGGGTGCCGCATAGCAGCCGGAGCCGCGTCCGGCGCGCCCAGGGGCTGCCTAGCTCCCGGGGACCCGGCCTGCGGCGGGGCACGGCCAGGCGGGATGGCCGACCCAGGGCCGCGGAGCCACCCCACCCCGGAGCCGCCGGCCCCTCCTGGACTCACCTGACTTGCCCATGGCCGGCTCCCCGCGCTCCTCGCTCCGCGGCGGCTGCGCTGCACTCGGGGCCGGCCGGCGCTGCTCGGGAGCCCGGAGGGGGCCGGGCGGCCGCAGCCCCTCCCCCGGCGCCGCCCGGCCCCCGCCTTTTAAGGAAGGCAACGACAGCTGCGGGCGGGCGGAGGCGTCCGGGGCTGCCCTGCGGGTCGTGAGCGCTCGCTCGGTGCGGGGAGTTCCGCCGCTTTCCGGGAGCCCTCCAGGTGTGGACCTGGAGCCGGGGGCCCCCAGAGAGGGTCAGCGCCGAGCGGCCCCCACTCCCCACGTGGCGGAGAGTCCTGCCAGCCTCGAGGACCGCAACGTCCACGTTCCCTCTGCCTCCGCCTGCCCTCGACAAGCGCCTCAGCCCCGAGGTGTCCCTGGCCACCCCTCACCCCCAACGCCGGCAGTGACCCCGGGCTCGAAGGCCGTCGGGGCTGAGGAGGCGAGCGACAGCGGCTTGGAATCGGACGCTCCCTAAACCTCCACCACAGGGCTCGGACCTGTCCCTTTGACCCTCATCGCCCATCAGACCAAGTCCAGTTCCCCGCCCTACCCTTGGAGTGCGCCCCAAGGCTGCCTGGGCTCCCTGACTACCGTCGATTTCCTGACATTCCCCTGCGCGTCTGGGATTCCCCTGCTCCCTGCCTTGGCTCTGGCCATTCCTCCACCGCCGGCCCATCCCGACCCGGTCAAGTCCCACCCATCCCTCAGAGCTGTCTTCCTTTCCTGACCTTGGTACCGGAGAGACCTGGTCGTAGGCACGGACCCACGCCTGCGTGCAAAGAGCTCTTGGGGGAAGGCGCAGGGAGTCGCGCCCGCCAGACCCCCAGAGGGAACTCCTTCCACGGAAGGCGCCCTGCAAACACTCGCTAAAGGGGTCACTTTAAGGCCTTTCCTAAGAGGGCCCCAAAGCGAACTGATCCTGTAGGGGAGGATTTTGCAAATGTCCAGTAGTGCAACAACAGAGCTGAGCACCGCCCTCTTCCTTCCCCCACTGCCAGGTCAATACACCTGCTGCTTTTCAGTACTTGTAGTGTTCGAACTGCTCAAGGCGGCGCCCAGACTGAGTCAAAAGGGACTTCCGGTGGTAGGCGGGGCTCCAAGTCCCCTACATTCAATGCCCTTCCCATTTTGCCAACAAGTCCCCATTGGGCTGATCAAATGGCCACAGCAGGAACAATTTTATTTTGCCCCCAGATTCTCTGGAAGGCTCTTTCCACGGAACCAGAGCGCTGAGGCCGGTGGAGACAACTGAGCACGGGAAAGCCATTGTCTGCACGCAGAAGGAAGCCCAGCCAGGACCAAACGGGCTTCAGAGGTGGAGACTGGCCGTGAGAGAGGGCGGGAGAAAGCTGGGGTCAAGGTCCCAGCTTGGTGGCTGAGAGTGGGCCTGGGGCGTGATGCTGACCTAAGGAACAGGCCTGTGGATGGGGACAGTGCTGAATGCTTAGGGCAGTATGGCAGTTGAGCCCCCATGAAGGCTGCAGGCTCACTTGAGAAGCCGCTGCAGGCAGAGGCTGACAACAGGGATCAGGCACTAGAAGGGCCATGGACTCCAATGCATCTGTTTATTTATTTATTTTTTTTAAGTTTATGTCTTATTTAAGGACTCCTGACCAGCTCCAAGTTCATGAGCCCTTCTTAGGTTTTCTTTTGAAAGTGTCACTGTTTTAGCTCTTTTTTTTTTTAAGATTTATTTATTTATTTGAAAGTCAGAATTACACAGAGAGGAGAGGAAAAGAGAGAGGGAGAGGTGGGGGGGGAGGGGAAGAAGGAGGTCTTCCATCCACTGGTTCACTCCCCAAATGGCTGTGCTGAGCGGATTGGAAGCCAGGAGCCAGGAGCTTCATTCGGGTCTCCCACATGGGTGCAGGGGTCCAAGCACTTGGGCCGTCTTCTGCTGCTTTCCCAGGCCGTGAGTGGGGAGCTGGGTGGGAGGTGGAGCAGCCCCCGTGTGGGATGCTGGCGTGGCAGGCAGTGACTTTGATCGCCCAGGCACAGCGCCGGCCCCTGTGGTGCTTTTATACTCTGGAGGACGTGTGGAGAGTGGTGGAGAATTTGAGCTGCCCAACGTGCAGGTTCCCGCAGAGCTTGGCGCCCTGCCTGCTGGTTTCAGCTGTCCTACTGTGAACAAGTGGCCTCTTCTGCCTTTTTGTTCCGTGTGTGTGTGTGCGCGCACGCACGTGTGTGTGTGTGTGTGTGTGTGATTTTGCTGTTTAAAATGGCTTCTGGGGCAGGTACATTGGTGTGGCAAAATTAGCTACTGCCTGAGAACACCAGTTTGAGTCCTAGTCGCTCCACTTCCAATCCAGCTTCCTGCTAATGTGCCTGGGAAGGCAGTGGAAGATGGCTCAAGTGCTTGGGCCACTGCACCTACATGGGAGACCTGGAAGAAGCAGTGGAGGATGGCCCCTGCCACCCATGTGGGAGACCGGGATACAGCTCTTGGCTCCTGGTTTCAGCCTGGCACAGCCACAGCCCCTGCAGCCATTAGGGGAGTGAACCACCAATGGAGGATCTCTCTCTCTCTCTCTCTTTCTCTCTCTCTCTTTCTCACTTGGTCTCTGTCTCACTAACTCTGCCTTTCAAATACATACATAAATCTTTGTATTTGAAAGGCAGAGTTAGAGAGAGAGAGAGAGAGAGAGGAGAGAGTGAGAAATATCTTCTATCCACTGGTTCACTCCCCAAATGGTCACAATGGCCAGGGCTGGGCCAGGACGAAGCCAGGATCCTGGAACTTCATCTGCGTCTCCCACATGGGTGCAGGGTCCCAAGTACTTGGGCCGTCTTCACTGCTTTCTCAGGTGCATTACTGGGGAGCTGGATTGGAAGTGGAGCAGCTGGGACTTGAACCAGCAGCCATATGGAATGACGGCACTGCAAGTAATGGCTCAACCTTCTATGTCACAACAATGGCCCTAATTTTAAAAAATGGCTCCCAGGGGCAGGCATGGTGACACAGTGGGTTAATCTGCCACTTGGGATGCCCACATCCCATATCAAAGTGTCTGGAACCAAGTCCCACCTTTACCTCTGGTCCAATTTCCTGCTAATATGCCTGGGAGGCAGCAGATGAAGGCCAAAGTACTTGGGTTCCTGCCACTCATGTGTGGGACCCGGGTGATGCTTCTGGCTCCTGGCTTTGGTCTGGTCCAGCCCTGGCTGTTGCCCACATTTGGGGAATGAACCAGCGGATGGAAAATCTCTCTCTCCTTGTCTCCCTGCCTCCTTCCCTTTCTCTCTCTCTGATTTTCAAATAAAGAAAAATAAGGCTTTAAAAAACAAAGCATAGCCCTGAAGTGCTATGTAGCATTGCAATGTGCCTTACAGAGAAAATACACTCTAATTAGAGAGACTTCACTCAGGCAAGAGTTATAGTATTGTTGGTCACAAGACCAGTGTTAATAAGTCAAGAGCACATATTATATATGGTGCCTGTAAGTAGAAACACACAGAAAACAAAGCTAATGCATCTGGGAAGGCAGCAGATGATGGCGCAAGTGTTTGGACCCCTGCCACCCACGTGGGAGACCAGGATGGAATTCCAGCCGCCTGGCTTCAGCCTGGCCCAACCCTGGTTGTTGCAGTCATTTGGGGAGTGAACCAGCTGATGGAAGATCTCTCTCTCTCTCTCCCCCCTCTTTTTCTTTGTCATTCTGCCTTTCAGATAAATAAAATAGATCTTAAAGGTGAAATGGTTCGTTTGCACGTATCTGGGAACTTCCCGACATAGCCGGTCGGTCACTGGTTCCCGGTTAATTCTGTTGTGCTCAGTGCACTGAGCACAGGTGCAGTGCTTCCACATTTACTGAGAATTGTTTTATGGCGCAGAATACTGCCTGGCTCGGTGAACCTTCCCTGTGCTCTTGAAAAGACTGTGTCCTGTTGTCACTGGTGAAATGGTCCCTAAATGCCAGCGACGTGGGCTTGGTCGCTGGCACTGTTGCAGCCTTTTCGTCCCGACTGGCGTTCTCTCCGCTTGTTCCATCAGGTCTCGGGAGAGGCAGGTTGCGAGCTTCAGCTGCACCTGCAGTTCTGTCTGGTCCTCCTTGAGGCTCTATCAGTTTTGCTCCATGTACTTTGAACCCTTTTATCTGAAGCATGAACATGTATAATTCTGTCACCTTGGTTGACTCTTCCCATTAGAAAGGCTTCGATGTCTGATAATGTTGCTTTCTGTGAAATCTGCTCTGTCTGACCTTAGTATGGTTGTTCTAGCCTTCTTTCAGTTAGTATCAGTAGGCTCTTCTAATTTTTATCCTTTAATTGTTTTCTTCTTTCAGCAAACTGTTTTACATAGCAGCATGCACTATTGCTTTTGTGTTTTATGGAATCATAGCTTTACTGCAGAGTTAGAAAGAAGGGGGGAGAGAGAGAGAGAGAGAGAGAGAGAGAGGTCTCCCATCTGCTGGTTCACTGCACAAATGGCTGCGATGGCCAGAGCTGGGCCAATCCAAAGCCAGGAGCCTGGAGCTTCTTCCGGGTCCCCAATGCGGGTGCAGGGACCCAAGCACTTGGGCCATCTTCCACTGCTTTCCCAGGCACATTAACATGGAGCTGGATTGGAAGTGGAGTAGCTGGGACTCGAATCAGTGCCCACATGGGATGCTGGTGTTGCCGGCAGTGGCTTTACCTGGCCCGCCACACTGCTGCTCCAATTTTGATGTATTTTGATGGTTAGACATATTGAGTGATATGAAAATAAACAAGACAAAATTTGCAAACATAAGCAAAAAATGTAGCTTTTTGTTTCACCGCCTCACTGTCTATATCAAATCCCTTGTAACCTAATGCTCTGTAAATTATGAAAATACGAACTTCATGTGAGCAGTGTCTGACCTTGGATGAGTCACTTGGCTGTTTCTTCCTCTGTGAAATGGGGCTAGTCCCGCCTCTCCCTCCCAGGCTGACGGTGATACGAATGTGTGCATCCCTGGAAAGTACTTAGTACTTAGTACTTGACACAGGCTAAGCACTGTGGAAGTGTCTACCAGCACTTCTCCCTTTAATTTTTAATTTGTTTTTAAAAAATTATTTATTTATTTGAGAGACAGACACCTGTCTGCTTGTTCACTCTCCAAATGTCCAGGAACCCTGGAACTCAATCCAGGTCTCCCATGTGGGTAGCAGGGACCCACGTACTTGGGCTTTCATCTGCTGCCTCCCAGGGTGCACGTTAGCAGGAAGCTGGAATCAGAAGCAGAACTGGGGCGGAAACCCAGGCACTCTGACATGGGATGCAGGCCTCCCAA